GCAGCAGCCGCAGCAGCCGCCGCAGTCGCAGCCTTCGCAGCAGCCGCAGCAGCCGTCGCAGACGCGGCAGACGAGTGTCCTCCCGCCAGGGTGGCCCGGCGCTGGCGGTGGACGGGCGCGTGGTGGTGTGCCGCGTGGTGGCTCTGCCGGCGGGCGTTGTCAGTACCAGATCCAGACCGGTCCTCGCCGCGGTTTCGTTTGCGGTAAGATCGGTCACTCCACTCCCCGCTGCTTTCGTCGCCTGGACGACCTCTTTCGTCAGCGTTTCGGCCCGTCGCCAGACCTCCCGGACTGGCACAGTTTGCTTAGTCGTCAGATTCAGATCTTTGATATGGACATGGATGCCATTGTTTCTGCTCTGCATGTGATGTATGCTGATGACTCTAGTGTGCTTCCGACTTATTACTCACTGTTGCCTAGTGTAGGTGTGCCTAGCTTAGCCTCCCCTGCTGCGTCAGGCGTAGGATCCCCTGCTTTGTGTAGTCTTGGTGCTTCTGCCGTTGTTCCGTCGCCAGACCCCTCGGCTTCGCTTTCCTTCACCTTGGACTCTGGCGCCTCTCGGTGTTTCTTCCGCGACTCCACCACCCTGACGCCGCTTCCTGTTCCTGCTGCCGTTTCTCTTGCTGACCCCTCCGGCGGCCCGGTAGTCGCCCGCAGTTCCACCACCCTTCCCTGTCCGGCGGTTCCTTCGGGCTCTCTTACAGGTCTGCATATCCCCTCGTTCTCCAGGAACCTAGTTGGTGTCGGCTGCCTCCAGGACTTTGGCGTCACCACTACGTTCCCTGGTCACGAGCGGTATGCTGTCTGTACCGAGGCCGCCACTGGTGCCCCCCTGTCCACGTTCCCCCAGGACCCGGTGTCCGGCCTGTTCACTCTGGACATCGTGCCCCCCCCGGCTGGAGCGCCCCCTCAGGTGGCTGTGTCTACCCAGGTTGCTGCTGCCTGCTCCTGTCGCTCCCTCACTCACCCGACCCTCCTGTGGCACCACCGCCTAGGTCACCCTGCGCTCCCGCGTCTGCGTCACATGTCCCAGCACGGTCTTGTCCTTGGTCTCCCTGGTTCACTCCCCGCGTTTCCCTCCTCCCCAGCTCCACCTTGCACGCCTTGTACCGAGGGTCGGCTTCGCCGTGCCCCTCACTCCTCCTCGTTCCCCCCTACCGCCGCGCCGCTGCAGACCCTGCACCTGGACGTCTGGGGCCCCGCCCCCGTCCCTGGGCCGCGTCGCGAGCGCTACTTCCTTGTGCTTGTCGACGACTTCACTCGTTACACCACAGTCTTTCCCCTGGAGCGCAAGGCCGACGTGCCTGGCGCCCTCATCCCCTGGCTTGTCTCTGCGCGTGTCCACCGCGGTCTCCCTGTCTTGCGTCTTCACTCAGACCGTGGTGGCGAGTTTGCCTCAGGTGTCCTTGGTCGCTTTTGTCGTGCGGAGGGCATCACCCAGACGTTCACCCTACCGGACTCCCCACAGCAGAATGGGGTCGCTGAGCGACGCATCGGCTTGGTCATGGAGGTCGCTCGCACCTCCATGGTCCATGCCGGTGCACCCCATTTTCTGTGGCCGTTCGCTATGCGCTACGCTTCTCACCAGCTTAACCTGTGGCCGCACCCTCAGCAGCCGCAGGTTTCGCCGACCCGTCTGTGGACTGGGTCTCCTGGTGACGCGTCTGCGTTCCACGTCTGGGGCTGCCTTGCTCACGTCCGTGCCTCCGGCACGGACAAGCTCACTGCCCGCACCCTTCCCTGCGTCTTCCTCGGTTTTCCCCTTGACGCGTCCGACTGGCACTTTTACCACCCGCCGTCTCACCGCTTCTTTCACTCTCGTGACGTCACCTTTGACGAGTCCGTCTCCTACTACCGCCGCTTCCCCCACCGTGGTCCCCCGGTTACCCCCCCCTGTTCCTGGTCACCCTTTCCCCGGTAGTCCCTGCCCCTCCTCCTCCTCCTCCCCGTCCCGCCCCCTCTGGTGTCTCCCATGTCACCCCCCTTCCGTCCGTGGACCCGGTTGAGGAGTCTTCTGACTCTGGTGGCCCTCCGGTGCAGTCCTCGCCGGCCGCCCCTCCCCAGGTGTCCCCTCCCTTGTCCCCTCCTCCGCCGTCCCTGCCGCCACTGCAGCCGTCGCCGTCGCCGCCGCCGCCGCCGCCGCCGCAGTCGCAGCCCCCGTTCGCTGACTCTGGGGGTGCTCGTCCCGGTCGCCCTGAGGGTGGTCCCTCTGGGGGTGCGGGTGTGGAGAGTGCCGGTGGTAGCCGAGGAGCAGCTTGCGGTCCAGGTGTCGCCGTTGTGCCGCCGCAGCAGCAGTCCCCGCCGGTGTCCGCCCTTCGCCTGCTCGGCCTTCCGTCCCCCGACCCTGTGTCGGTTCCTCCCCGACCGTCTCCTCCTCTACCTGTCTACGGCCCTGTTTTCCCTCCGCCGGACTCGTCCCCGGCCCGTCTCCCCCCTCGTTCCCCTCCTGTGTCCCCTCCCCTGTCTCCTGACCCGACTCCTCCATCGCACGTCTGGTCTCACCGTCCCTCCCGTGCTCGTCCTGCCTCGCCTGTCCTGCGCTCCCACCCTATGTTGCTTCGTTCACACGCGTCTCGTCCTCCCCTTCTGCCGTCGCCTCCTCCGTCCTCCCTTGTTGTTGCGCCCCCCCCGCTGTCCGACTACCTTCGTGCCGCTCGTCCTCTCGTTCCTCGGGTCCTTGCCTCTCTCGTTACCGACCCGTCTGTTCCAGTCTCGTGCCTTGACGCTCTTGTCGCTGCTGTCGCTGACTTCGCCTCTACCCGCCGCCTTGACTACGCCACCGCTCTGGTCTCTGACCCTGCCTGTCCTCCGTCTGTCGGGGGTGCTCCTGCCCTTGGCAGTGACGTCCTGGAGGACCGCCAGTTCGAGCTTGCTTTCCTCTCCGAGGCTGCTCCCCATCTCTGTTCCATGCTGCTAGTCCCTGAGGGTGACCCAGACGCTTTCGACATCCCGACCCCTCGCACTTACGCTGAGGCGACTTCGGGACCCTGGGCCTCGCAGTGGATAGCTGCCATGGAGCAGGAGATGGCATCTTGGAGATCCACCGGCACCTTCGTCGACGCAGTTCCCCCACCTGGGGTGAACGTAGTCGATGGCCGCTGGCTCTTCAAGGTGAAGCGCCCTCCTGGAGAGCCGCCTGTCTTCAAGGCGCGCTATGTGGCTAGAGGCTTCAGTCAGCGCGAGGGGGTGGACTTCTTCCAGACCTTCGCTCCGACCCCGAAGATGACTACTCTTCGGGTTCTGTTACACCTAGCTGCTCAGCGTGACTACGAGCTTCACTCCCTCGACTTCTCCACTGCCTTCCTTCAGGGCAGCCTACACGAGCAGGTCTACCTGCGCCGCCCTCCGGGCTTTACTGGCACCTTCCCTCCTGGGACCCAGTGGCTCCTGCGGCGCCCCGTCTACGGCCTGCGCCAGGCTCCCCGTGAGTGGCACGACACTCTGCGTGCTACGCTTGCTGACCTGCAGTTCTTTCCGTCTTCTGCAGACCCTTCACTCTTCATTCGTGCTGGCCAGACTCCGTTCTACATCCTCGTTTACGTCGACGACCTGGTCTTTGCCACAGCAGACAGGGACGCGCTGGCCTCCGTGAAGGCAGAGCTGCTGAAGAGACACACCTGCACTGACCTTGGAGAACTGCGCCGTTACCTTGGCTTGCAGATCTCCAGGGACAGAGCTGCGCGCACCATCACCCTGACTCAGTCACACTTGGTGCGCCAGGTCCTTCAGAGGTTCAGCCTTCAGTTCTCCTCTGCACAGCCCACCCCCCTGCCTGTAGACCACAGGCTCTCCGCTCCAGTGCCTGAGGAGTTGGTAGAGCCCAGCGGCCCCTACGCAGAGCTGGTGGGTTGCCTCATGTACCTGATGACTTGCACTCGCCCAGATCTCGCATACCCTCTCAGCATCCTGGCTCGCTTTGTGGCCACAGGCAGACACCGACCGCAGCACTGGTCTGCCGCTAAGAGGGTTCTGCGTTATCTTGCTAGTACATCGGGCATGGGGTTAGTGCTAGGAGGACGCAGGCCAGCGGTCCTTACTGGGCACACAGACGCTTCGTGGGCAGACGACGCTGAGACACTCCGGTCTACCCAGGGCTACTGCTTCAGCCTTGGCTCAGGTGCCGTCTCGTGGAGAGCTACTCGCTCCTCGTCTGTTGCACAGTCCAGCTGTGAGGCTGAGATCTACGCCGGTGCCATGGCGGCACAGGAGCTCCGCTGGCTGACCTTCTTGCTCACTGACTTAGGTGAGCGACCTAGCTCTGCCCCGGTCCTGTTCGCTGACAACAGGGCCATGATCCTCCAGTGTCAGGAGCCTCGACTCGAGGGCAGAGCGAAGCACATTCAGCTGCGGTACTTCCTCCTGCGTGAGCTACAGCAGCGACGTCAGGCTCGCGTAGTACACTTGGCCTCAGGTGCCAACACGGCTGATATCTTTACGAAGGCGCTTGCGCCTAAAGATCATCAGCGGCACTGTGTACAGCTTGGTCTAGTTCCTGTAGCCTCTCACTTGCTAGGACCTTGACTTTGTACTGTCCTTTATATGTATACTCAGACTGGACTTGTGTCCTCTCCCAGTGGCTGGACTAGTAGTGCCGCCCTGCTCTTGTGCTTGCCTTGTCTGTACTCCTTCTGACCGGTCGCTCAGACCCTTGTCTCAGAGGTTGGACTAGTAGTGCCGCCCTGAGCTGCTTGTTTAGGGTATTCCCCTATGCAGTCTAGGGGGTGTGTCAAACATGTGTATTTGTCATGTTTGTATAGACTGTATAGAGTCACCTCTTAGAGGATACAAAACTTAGATATATTTGTGTGTACTCTCACTTTACCATTATTCAATTATTCTGATAATAGTGACGTTGTATTCTCATTATAGTACATTGACATTTTCTAAATCATAACACCCGCCCTCAGGTTTCACTTTCCCTCGAGTTCTTCTCGAGTGCTTCTCGAGCTCTCCAGTGCTTCTCAAGCTCTCCTTGAGCGCTTCTCGAGTTCGTCTCGAGTCCACCCCACGAACTCCTTCCGTCCCGTGATCCCGCCCAAAGCACCCTGGTATCCTGAACTAACTTGAAGCTCTCCGTTCGGATCCCTCATTGTCGCCACAGCAGCAACCTATACACACAGGGCACAAGGCAGTAGAATCGCACAACATACATTTCAAGTAACCCACGAGTTGTGGACCTATGGATGACAGTCACGTAGTCGTTGCGCTCATAGAGAATCGTGCACGCGAGGTATGCACTACCTGTTGTTTCTTTCACTACTTCGCATTTCGTTCAAACTGATATGTCTGTTGCACGCGTAGGTCGGACTTGCCGCCTTGGACCTCAGATCCGCAACTCTCCACCTGAATCAGTACATCGAAAGCAGCAAGTCGTACCAGAACACGCTGACTTTGCTGCAGTATTTCAAGCCAACTGAGATTATCGTTCCAGCCCGAATGGCAGACTTAGCGGAAGGAATTGGCGGAGTCATGGCTCTTGCTTCACATTCCTCCTTCGCAGCAGCTCGCAAGGTATGCAGTCTGTTGCGAGTTGGCTGATTCTGGTCATTTTACTTGCTGAATCTCGCTGGCGCTTCTTACAGGTGACCATGGCACGTGGCTGCTTTGACGACGTCAAGGTCAGTGGCGGCATAGTAGATCAGCTGTTTTAGAGAGTGAGCGCATAGTATATCAGTGATAACCTGACGCGTTTTACGCACAGGGTGCTTTACTCGTCCAATCTTACACCAATGGAAAAGCCAACGGCACGAACGTGGATAGGCACTACAAGGAGTACTACCTCTGTCTAGGTGCTGCAGCTGCACTTTTGAAGTGGTAAGTCACAGGTAGAATCCTTCTTTCTTCTTGATGTTGTCTTTTATAATCGAACATCTCTGTTTAATCAGGGTTGAAAGCGAGAAGTCAGCAGTGATCATGCAGAGGTCCCTTCAGGTTACTTTCAACGGCTCCCTCAACCACTTGTCAATAGATGCGACCAGGTACGTGCATCAGTTCATTTTTCTTCGTTGCTCAGTTGTTAACATCATTCGCTTTGTGCAGCATACAAAATCTGGAGGTGATTGAACCACTGCCGGGAAATTCAGAGAGAGATGGGAAGAAAAAAGCCAGTCTTTTTGGTGTCCTGAATTCAACAAAGACATTGGGCGGGTGAGCAATTATTGGTAGCGTGCCTTGTCATTGGAAAAAGGAACGAGTACCTTGACACGAGCTTTCTGTTGCAACAAGCAGGGCACGGCTTCTTAAAGCAAATCTTCTCCAGCCGCTGAAGGACAAGGAAACAATAAAACTGCGACTGGATTGCTTGGTAATGCGCACTGAGTGTGTTCAACTTTCCCTTTTCCTGTCGATACCACATGTGAGCTGCCTTAGAACTGAGGCAGAACTATTTTCACCTGGCGCAGGAGGAAATGATTAACGATGAGTCGCTGTACTCAGCAGTGTCAAGCATTCTTCAGCAATTCCCAAAAGATCTTGGTATGCTGCAAAGGGGGATGTGTGTACGCGTCAGCTGAGAGCTTGGCTAATGCTAGCGTGCTTTTGCAGATCGTATTGTGACAAGCTTTGCATTTCGTCCACGCAAAGTTGCCGATGATGGCACAACTACTAGAAGAAATATGGTGGTGCTTTCAAGCATCATTCTCTTGCGAGAGACTCTACTTCTTGTCCCTCGACTTGCAGAGGTATAGAAATGGATTTGTTTGACTTATTTCTTGCGCAGTTCTTTTAATTTGTTCTCACTCTACCTCCATTACCACACTCGTGAAGGCTCTGAGTGGAGCTAAGTGTAGCCTCTTAACCAGCGTACGAGATATTGTCTGCAAGAAGCAAGCATTTCCAATTTTATTAAAAGAGTAAGTACTTCTGCTGCTTTGACTTTCTTGGTCATTTGAATCAGCTCATGCGGAGCTTTGGATGCAGAATTGAGCACATTCTTGACGAGGACGTCATGCACTCAAGGTCTCCATTCATTGCTCGAACACAACAATGTTTCGCAATCAAGGCTGGGTTTGATGGCTTCTTGGACGTCGCCAGGCGCACGTTTTGTGCAACTAGTGAAGGTGAGAAGACGGCTTCATCAGTGTAGTCCTAGATAACGGATACACTGAACTGGGTCATCGTGTGCTATGGCAGCTATTCACTCTCTGGGGAAGTCCTACCGTGAGCAGTATTCTCTTCCGAATCTTCGACTCCCATTCAACAACAGACGAGGGTTTTATATCAGAGTTCCAGTGAAAGATGTGAAGGGGAAAAAGCTTCCACCCAACTTTCTCCAGGTATAGTGAGCTCCACATATTTCTACGTTTATGACAAGGGTTTGGACCATAACTGTGGCATGTCAGGTCAACAAGAATGGAAAGAACTACCAGTGCACAACACAAGAGCTGGTCTCGGTAAGCATTATCTGCATGCAGTTAGGTTCCACCTTTTGTTACGAGTTCTCACAAGAAGTTCCAAACCGTCATTGCAGCTCAATATTCGGAACAAGGAAGCTTCAGCTGAGTGTTTTCTTCGAGAAGAGCGCTGCCTCGAAGGTGCGTAAATTTCTAGACACATGCTGCTTACTTCAGCAACTAGCATTGCTGCAGTGTGAGTTGTTCTATGGCTGTGCTAAGTAACGTTTTCTCGTGACAGGATTGTGTCAGCGAATTAGGGAGGAGCTGACTGTGTTCTCTTCACTTTTGGAGAGTGTATTCCTCCTTGACATGATCACCAATAGCTTTGCATTTATTGTAACTACAAGCCCGGTGGACAGCTATGTCCGCCCTGAGTTTACAGGTACATACAGGCGGCTCAATGTTATTGCATTCAGTTAAGTGTGATATTTGGCACCTTCTTACATTGGCTCAGACCATGGTCCTTTGGCCATTGATGGTGGTCGACATCCAATCGCTGAGGGGCTTCTCCAAGATGCATTTGTGGTGAGCCATGTCTGCAAACGAGAACCGTCTATTGCTCTTTTATTGTGCTTCTAAACCTTTTCCCCTCCCTCTCTTCTTGGCAGGAAAACAACACGTTCATGTCAGAGGCCTCAAATGCTATGATTATTACTGGTCCCAACATGTATGCACACCCAACATCAATCTTGGTCATGCGCCTCTAATGAAATGTAATGCTGACATGCGGTTCTTCTATTCAGGAGTGGAAAGAGCACCTACCTTCGCCAGGTGGCCTTGCTGACTATCCTGGCTCACATCGGCTGCTATGTCCCTGCTCGGTTTGCATCTTTCCGAGTGGTTGATCGTATATTTACAAGAATTGGGACTGGAGAAAGCATTGAGGAGAACTCCAGCACGGTGCATGTGCTTGCCATTTTTACACTTCTTTACCCAGTGCATTTTCGCTCTAGCTCAGAGTGTTCTTTGCTTGCAGTTCCTGACAGAGATGCGTGAAACTGCATTCTTGATGGACCATCTTACTCCAAGGTTCGTATGAAAAGTCAGCTTGAAGCTGTGTTATGGTCCAGAGTATCACAATCCTAATCACTATTTAAATTCAGGAGCCTTGTGGTCGTTGATGAATTGGGATGTTCGACATCAACGCTTGATGGTCTTGCGATTGCATGGAGCTGTTGTGAACACCTTCTCACATTTCCGTCGTAAGTGATTCTCCTTGTCAGTTGTGCTTTTTTTTTTGCCTTTTCCTTGCCACCTTTAATCTTTGTCATAAACAACTCTGAATACTTAGTACTTCCCAACATGACATCATGCATAATTTCAGATACATAATCTTTGCAACTCATATGAAGCAGCTTGGAGAGCTGGCCTCCATTTATCCCAATTGCAAAGTGTGCTACTTCTCAGTCGCAGTCAGCAACGAGCGACTTGCATACAAGGTACAGCCTAAATGAGAAATTGCATATGATATTTCTTACTTTCATTAAGAGGCTAACTGTAGCTGCACATCTACTTGCCAGTACGTTCTGAAGGAAGGGTACACTGATGTCCCACACTATGGTTTGCGGCTCGCTGAAGCTATGGGTTTTCCAGCACCAGTCATGGGTGAAGCACAGCGAATTGCTGATATAATGGAACAGCAGGTAAGCAGCAGAATCGGATATTGGACAAATTGTCCTTCCAATGGGCCTTCGTATTGAGTTGTGACTTTGCAGGGATCACGCCGGTTGGAAATTGGCTACAGCAAGTTTACAGCGCTTCGCCGAGATTACATTGTCGCCCAGCGTCTGCTATGCCTACAGCAATCCAGTCTCGGTGACTCAGAGCTGAAGGATTATCTGCTGAACCTTAAGGCCAGCTACCTGGATGGTAGTCTGGTTTGAGCTCGGCACTGAAACTCTGGGAAGGCCATGATGCATTGAGTGCACTGCCCAAAAGCATCTAAACATCCTACTGTACCACGTACCGTAGCAGCATTCAGAGAATACCAGCTGCCTTGATGGAACTGAGCCATGTCTGAAAGGTGACATGCGCAGAACAAACGGCATTTATGGTCGTGGCTCCGAGGTATTGTTTAAACTACCTTGTCAGCGGAAACGGTCTTGCAGTTGGTGCATCGCAAATAGTGGATTCACATCACTAGGTTTTGGTACGGTAGTAGTTACAAGAGTGGAAGAGCTCGTTGACTCCTGGATCTGAGCAGTTCACGAGGAAGAGTGAAAGGAGGGAGAGATGTTAATGGTGTATACCTGAAAGGAAATTGCATTTCCTTATCAAGCGGTTTAGTCAGTACGGCGTACACTGCTATAACGGGGTTGCCGCGCAGCTCTGCCGCGAAATTCAAATCGCGGTCCCAAATGTGGTCTCCTGGCGAACCACATACATTGTTGCCCGCCTTGCTGTTGCATGCCTTGGATCTGGGCGCTCCGCGCCATTTTCCACAAGTCGCAGCTCTGCCGAGCCACGACCGTGTGCTCCTAAGCTGCCTATATCCATGCTCCCTGCTGTTTTGATGTTGCCTCAGTTGTATTATTTCCTCGTTAATCAATCCTTCGACACACGCTCTTTGCGTTTCATTACACCTGGCCATCAGAGCCAACGATCCTCAGCCTTGCGCTCTAGTTCCGCTGCAATACCGACACTTAGGGAGGCTGACGCCCTGTGCTCACTGCATATCCGCTGTCCTGGTAATATTAATTGATAATTACCTACAGCCACGACTGTGTTCGCGGTGTTAACGTAGAAACGAATGATTACTAGAGGTGGAAACCTAGAACAAATACTAGTTGGTTGTACTCACTAGAAGCATACCTCAGTCTAGCCTATAACTTCTACATAGATAATATGTATAAGTTGACACACCCCCTAGGCTAGACAAGGGGTGAAACTAAACAAGAAGCAAACAGCTCAGGGCGGCACTACTAGTCCAACCACTGAGGCAGGGGTCTGGAGACCAGTCAGCAAGAATACAACCAAAACTGAAGCAAGCCAGGGTGGCACTACTAGTCCAGCCACTGGAGGTAAGGCCACAAGGCCAGTCTGACAAGCATATATAATAGAGAGTACACAATCAGGATCCTAACAGGGGAGCAGCTATAGGAACAAGACCAAGCTGTACACAGTGCCGCTGATGATCTTTAGGCGCAAGCGCCTTAGTAAAGATATCAGCTGTGTTGGCACCTGAGGCCAAGTGAACTACGCGGGCCTGGCGGCGCTGCTGTAGCTCGCGCAGGAGGAAGTACCGCAGCTGGATATGCTTCGCTCTGCCCTCAAGCCGAGGCTCCTGACACAGGAGTATCATGGCCCTGTTGTCAGCGTACAGGACCGGGGCAGAGCTAGGCCGCTCACCTAAGTCTGTGAGCAAGAAGGTCAGCCAGCGGAGCTCCTGTGCCGCCATGGCACCAGCGTAGATCTCAGCCTCACAGCTAGACTGAGCCACAGACGACGAGCGAGTGGATCTCCAAGAGATAGCACCCGAACCAAGGCTGAAACAGTAGCCCTGCGACGACCTGAGCGTCTCAGCGTCGTCTGCCCAAGAAGCGTCTGTGTGCCCAGTAAGGACCACTGGCCTGCGTCCTCCTAGCACTAACCCCATGCCTGATGTACTAGCAAGATAACGCAAAACCCTCTTAGCGGCAGACCAGTGCTGAGGTCGGTGTCTGCCTGTAGCCACAAAGCGAGCCAGGATGCTGAGAGGGTATGCGAGATCTGGGCGAGTGCAAGTCATCAGGTACATGAGGCAACCCACCAGCTCTGCGTAGGGGCCACTGGGCTCTACTGGCTCCTCAGGAACGGGAGCAGAGAGCCCATGGTCTACGGGTAGAGGTGTGGGCTGTGCGGAGGAGAACTGAAGACCGAACCTCTGAAGGACCTGACGCACCAAGTGTGACTGGGTCAGAGTGATGGTGCGTGCTGCTCTGTCCCTAGAGATCTGCAGGCCAAGATAGCGACGCAGCTCTCCAAGGTCAGTGCAGGTGTGTCTCTTCAGCAGCTCAGCCTTCACAGAGGCCAGTGCGTCCCTGTCAGGAGTAGCGAAGACCAGGTCGTCTACGTAGACAAGGATGTAGAACGGAGTCTGGCCGGAACGCACAAACAGTGAAGGGTCAGCAGAGGACGGAAAGAACTGCAGGTCTGCTAACGTGGCACGTAGCGTGTCGTGCCACTCGCGGGGAGCCTGACGCAGGCCGTAGACCGGGCGCCTGAGAAGCCACTGGGTCCCAGGAGGGAAGGTACCAGTGAAGCCCTGTGGTCGGCGCAGGTAGACCTGCTCGTGTAGGCTGCCCTGAAGAAAGGCAGTAGAGAAGTCGAGAGAGTGAAGCTCGTAGTCACGCTGTGCTGCTACGTGTAGCAGCGCCCGAAGAGTGGTCATCTTCGGGGTCGGGGCGAAGGTCTGGAAGAAGTCAACCCCCTCGCGCTGACTGAAACCTCTGGCCACGTAGCGCGCCTTGAAGACAGGCGGCTCTCCAGGGGGGCGCTTCACCTTGAAGAGCCACCGACCATCGACTACGTTCACCCCAGGCGGGGGAACTGCGTCGACGTAAGTGCCGGTGGATCTCCAAGATGCCATCTCCTGCTCCATGGCAGCTATCCACTGAGAGGCCCAAGGTCCCGAGGTGGCCTCAGCGTAGGTGCGAGGGGTCGGGATGTCGAAGGCGTCTGGGTCACCCTCAGGGACTAACAGCATGGAGCAGAGATGGGGAGCAGCCTCGGAAAGGAAAGCCAGCTCGTACTGCCTGTCCTCTAGGACGTCACTGCCAAGGGCAGGAGCACCCCCGACGGACAGAGGACGGGCAGGGTCAGAGACCAGAGCGGTAGCGTAGTCAAGGCGGCGGGTAGAAGCGAAGTCAGCGACAGCAGCGACAAGCGCGTCAAGGCGCGAGACAGGAACAGCAGGGTCGGTAACAAGAGAGGCAAGGACCCGAGGGACAAGGGGACGAGCAGCACGGAGGTAGTCAGAGAACGGAGGAGGTGCAACAGCAAGGGACGAGGGAGGAGGGGACGGGAGGAGGGGAGGACGAGACGAGTGGGAACGGAGCAACATAGGGTGGGTGGGCAGGACAGGAGAGACGGGACGAGCACGGGAGGGACGGCGAGCCCAAACGTGAGACGGAGGGGTAGGGTCAGGGGACAGCGGAGGAGACACAGGAGGGGAACGAGGAGGAAGACGGGCCGGAGACGAGTCTGGCGGCGGGAACACAGGACCGTAGACAGGGAGGTCAGGAGGCGGTGGGGGAGACACCGGCGCGCGGTCCGGGGAGGGAAGGCCGAGCAGGCGGAGAGCGGAAACCGGCGGCGACGGCTGCTGCGGCGGCGACGACGGCTGGGCCGGAACTCTCGGACCAGCAGAGGCAGAACGACCGTCGGCAGAACACTCAACAGCAGCACCCCCAGAACCAACACCCCCAGAGCGCGAACCCCCTCCAACACCAGCGGCACCCCCAGAAGCCGCAGGACGAACACCCTCCTCCACACCAGCACCCCCAGGGGCCGAGAGCAGCGGCGGCAGTGGCGGCACCGGCTGCGGCGGCGGCGACAGCGGCGACGGCTGCGGCAGCGACAGCGGCGTCGGCGGCGACGACAGCGGCGACGGCTGCGGCGGCGACGGCGACGGCGGCGGCAGCGGGGTCGGCGACTGCGACAGTGGGGGCGGAGGCACCGGGGAAGGGGGACGCGGCAAGGACGGACCGGGGGTACCACCAGAGTCAGCAGACTCCTCAACGGGGACAACCGACGGGAGGGGAGTGACGTGGGAGACACCAGACGGGGCAGGACGAGGCGGGAGAGGGGCAGGGGCTACCGGGGGAGAGGGAGCAAGGAAAAGGGGGGGGGCAACTGGGAGACCTCGGTGAGGGAAGCGGCGGTAGAAGGAGACGGACTCGTCAAAGGTGACGTCACGAGAGTGGAGGAAGCGGTGAGACGGCGGGTGGTAGAAAAGCCAGTCAGACGAGTCCAGGGGGAAACCGAGGAAGACACAGGGGACAGTGCGGGCAGTGAGCTTGTCGATGCCAGAGGCACGAACGTGAGCAAGGCAGCCCCAGACGTGGAACGCAGACGCGTCACCGGGGGACCCGGTCCAAAGGAGGGTCGGCGAAACCTGCGGCCGCTGGGAGCGTGGCCACAGGTTAAGCTGGTGAGCCGCGTAGCGAACAGCGAACGGCCACAGAAAATGGGGGGCATCGGCATGGATCATGGAGGTACGGGCGACCTCCATGACCAAGCCGATGCGGCGCTCAGCAACCCCATTCTGCTGTGGCGAGTCCGGCAACGTGTACGACTGGGTGATGCCCTCCGCACGACAGAACTGTCCAAGCCGACCAGAGGCGAACTCGCCGCCACGGTCGGAGTGGAGACACAACACGGGGAGACCGCGGTGGAGACGCGCAGCCACAACCCACGGGAGAAGAACGTCGGGCACGTCGGCCTTCCGCTCCAGGGGAAACACCGTGGTGTAGCGCGTGTAGTCGTCGACGAGCACAAGGAAGTAGCGCTCACCGCGCGGTCCGGGGACGGGGGCAGGGCCCCAAACGTCCAAGTGCAGGGTCTGAAGGGGGGCAGTAGCAGGACGCAGCGAGGAGGAGTGAGGAGCACGGCGGAGCCGACCCTCGACGCAAGGCGTGCACGGTGGCGCAGTCGAGGGAGGAAGGGCAGGGAGCGACGCGGGGAGACCTAAGACAAGACCGTGCTGGGACATGTGACGCAGACGCGGGAGAGCAGGGTGACCTAAGCGGTGGTGCCAGAGAAGGGAGGGGTGAGTGAGGGACCGACACGAGCAAGCTGCAGCGACCTGGGAGGACGCACCAACCGGGGGGGAAGCGGTGTGTAGGGTAAACAGACCGGACACCGGGTCCCGGGGGAACGTCGCAAGGGGGGAACCTGAGACAGCCTCAGAACAGACAGCGAACCGCTCGTGCCCGGGGAACGTGGTGGTGACGCCGAGGTCCTGGAGACAGCCGACACCAACCAGGTTCCTGGAGAACGAGGGAATGTGGAGGCCAGTAAGGGAGCCTGAGGGAACTGCCGGACAGGGAAGGGACGTAGAACTGCGCGCGACGACCGGACCCGCAGAGGGGTCAGCGAGAGAGACAACAGCAGGTGCAGCAAGCGGCGTGAGCGTGGAACGGTCGCGGAAGAAGCAGGCAGAAGCACCAGAGTCGAGAGTGGAGGACAGCGACGCAGTGGCGGAGGCCGGGGACGGAGCCGGTGCAGCGACTAGACTAGGCAACCTAGGCAGTCCTACGCCTGTCGCAGCAGGGGAAGCTAAGCTACACAAGGGTGAAACACCTAAACTAGAGTACACAGGGTAGTAAGATCCAGCAACACTAGAAGCGTCAGCATACAAAGCATGCAAAGCAGCACCTATCTGATCCATATCTAACTCAAAGATCGGCACGCCCTGGCGGAGCAGGCTGTGCCAGTCAGGGAGGTCCGGGGCCGGGCCAAAGCGACGACGAAAAAGATCGTCGAGGCGGCGGAAACAGCGGGCGGTCGGGTGCGGGCGGCGGCACAGAGTGCCGCGGAGAGGCCCAGTCTGAAGCTGGTACTGGCAGGTCACAGCACTGGAGCCGCTGGTAGACGCCAAGCTGCGCGGGCCGCCACCACGGCCACCGCCTCCGGAGGTGCCGGGCCAACCAGGCGGGAGACGAGCCCACGGCTGCGGCGGGTGCTGCTGGGACGGCGGCTGCGGCTGGGGCTGGTCCTGCTGCTGCTGGGGCTGCTGCTCCTGCCCACCGTTGGTAGTCCCCTCAGGCGGACTACCGTCACCACCACCACGACCACTACCACCTGCGTCACCACCCCTACCTCCCTGGCGGCCACGGCCACCGCGACGCGAGCGC